CAAAGTCGCTAGAACACTCTTCCATTCATTACTTTTGTTTCTGCTCCGTTAAATTTGCCCATGCAATTTTTTTATTAACGAAATCGATTTAGGCCCAGTTCAAACGTCGAATTTCACATGTGCCGAATTTAATTGCTATTTTAGTCGACTAAAATAGTTAAATACGGCATTTGATTCAAACGTCGAATTTAACTCACTGAATTCTGTCGAATTTAACTCTCTTCGCTGTCAATATTCCCAGTAATATAATAATAATTTACTAAAATTCATTCATTAAGTTCGGCACATGTGAAATGCGACGTTTGAATCAAAAGTCGAACCAAAGTCGAATCTTCGACTGTTTCAGTCGCAGATACGGCAAACGTTGCATTTAATTTATATAAACAGTCGAATTTAATTGATTCAAACGTCGCACTTCACATGCATTTAACTCTCGCGTTAAGTTCGGCACATGTGAAATTCGACGTTTGAACCGGGCCTTAACTACAAACGATGAGTATTCAGGCAGAGTACGAGTGGCAAGCTTCAATCCGATGTGACAAGAGAGATATACGCCTTTGAAGTTCTGTTAATTTTGCGGGTGTAAAAAATTCAAGAAGTAAACCCACCAAAGTTTAATCGATCATATCGTTGCGAAAACGTTATCAATTTCGAAGTAGTTTCTAAAAATACAATAAAGAGGGATAGTTCTTTCAATTTGTATCGGCAAAGAAAGATTAGCTTTGAAGACACAGAAGACAGGGTTGTAGTCGAAGGCTCAAAAACATCTTCTATTAACCAATATGGCGCCGGTCCGAGGCACCCAAAAACCGGCCATTGCGATAATTTCCGAAATAGGAGGAATTAAAACCTAAACTTTCCTATTCCTTATTAAAGACCCCAAATCAAGTCTACATGCCAAGTTTCAGCCAATTCGGTAAGATAGTGTGGCAGCGACTTTTCAGTATATAGTTCGAATCTTACAGACAGCTGCTCTTACAGCTGAACGAGGAATAACATCACGGGAATGTTTGTCATTCAAAGAGACGCAAATATTCAAGTGGCCGCCGGTATTCTAAGGTTTTAATAACCATAGAACGAGTATAAACACGAGCTTAAAAGAGTACAGTGAGCGCAGGGAGTGACATTAATTTCTCATGCATCAACAACTCGGTCGTATTAAATAGACCTTGTCACGGTTTTCGGCGCCATCTTGACGAGTAGGCAAACGCGTGAGAAATTACAGTGTTTGTATGATAATCTAATGTCGAATAATTTCTGTGGAACGGCTGTTCTGAAAAAAAATATATATTGTAAACTAAAGCTCCACTCCTAAGGATTCTCCTGAAAAAATTTGAGGGCGTTACATGCACTAGAAGACCTAGAACCACTTTTTTTAAAATTTTCTATACATTTGTCTGTAAGAAACTCCCGGGAAAATTACAGACAAATATATGGAAAATCTAAAGCAAGCCTCTGGAGAAATTTAAGCACAGGTACGCGACCCAATTTTTTTAGGACAATCCTTTGCTTTGTAGCTTTAGTTTACAAAAGATATTTTTTTCAGAACAGCCGTTTTACGGAAATTATTCGACATTAGATTCTCATACAAACACTGTAATTTCTCACGCGTTTGCCTACTCGTCAAGATGGCGTCGAAAACCGAGACAAGGTCTATACCATAACCACGCACTTTCAAGTTCGCGTTCAAACTCAAATATTAAACCACGGAACGAGTATAAGCGAGAGCAGGAAGTGAGATTTTTCAAACTGCAACGACTCAGTCGTATTTTAAAATACCATAACCACGCACTTTCTACGAAGTATTCTATATGTAATATACAACTCTTACCTCTTGATCTGAGGAAGAAAGCCTTTGATGAATTTCGTCTTAATATGTTAATTTTTATGGTTTCTTTCACGGAAAACTTTCCTCTGCGGTTGTCCCTAAATATACATACCGGTCAGAAGGACAGCCGAGAGGTACTGGAGACGACTTCCTGATTCGGCTGCAATATTGTATCCATCCTCTTCAGGCTTTCTGGACAGTGATGATCGATACTGAATTACGTGGTTCGACGACAGAGGTGAAAAGCTTCAAGATGAGTTGTTCAGCGCTAAACTTGTTCATCTTGACTTTCAAAACTGATATAACATCATTCGTCCGTCGGCTTTTGAAAACCAGACTGGCGGTTTAGGATAATACAAACATCGATTCTCGGAAACTACCGTAGCTTCCGCCAGGATCCCATAAAGCTTCCGCTCATACCCAAGCGCCAATGAAAATGCTACATGTCTGAAATATGTATCTGTGTTTTCCGGCTAGATTTTTGACGCTGCTGAATTTTTGTGCGATGACGTTACTCTATGGGCCAAATTGTTTGTTTATAAACAACAATTTGTAAAGTTTCGTCCTGATTTGTAGTATACGTAGAGTAAAATGTACGAACCGTATGTCATTACTTAATCTTGTCCCGCCGCGCGCGTTCCTGATACCCTGTCGGGTCGAGAGGAAATCATTTGTGTTGTGATGAATGCCGTTGCTGCGGATGTAATGTTTTCACAAGTATTATCAATAGTGGAAAAAGGATGGAAACACTAAGGTACGATGAAAATTGTTCTGGCAAATGGTTAACTTAAGCGAATGAAGTACTTCAGAGTAACGGAGTGGACATGCATTATTTTTTACATTGACTTGTGCCATTAGTGAAAGGACGTGGACACTATGCAGGTTATGAACCTCAACTGAAATGATGGGCCAGCCGTTTGTGCTATGCCCTATATTTAGATGGGTTTTTTTTGCAGACCTTTTCAAACCTAACTGATCGAAACCTTTAGCGTAGGTAGGCGTTGAACAGGTTAGACCAGGTTAGGAAATGTACTTTTGTAATGATTTTAGATGACCGCCTGCCATTTATTCAGTGGCATCATTTTTTATTGATGTTGGATGGACAACTATTTCATCTCCCAGCTCGTAAATCACAGAATGCCAAAGAAATTGTTTTCAAGATAGACACACCAGTTTGTATCATCGCCTAAACAGCAAATACTTTGGCCCAGAAGTTCACTTGATGACAAGGAAAGCGAGATAACACGTGATCGATGACGGCCGTGCGCTGGAAAATTTTCCTTTTTTATGCGCTAATTCCTCGCAAAAGGCAAAAGAAGATTCCGCTATGTAGAAAGTGCTTCGCAATACGTATTCTTTGCGAGAAAAATTCCAGCGATGTGGTGCAAATAAGGAGTTTCAACGGGTAACCTCGAGAATACACATCGACATTAAGAGGTCATAACAGACTAATGTTACTTTCCATTTGCCGAAACGCCGTTAACCGTTGTAACCCGAAGGAAGCAGTGTTTTCCTCAGTTTGAGCTGTCGTTTTCTTTGAGAGTCAAATACCAGTTCACGTTTCAAAGTTCTCTTTTCATTTTCTCTGCCGACAATAGACAAAAACACAAGGTTTCGCTTGAGAAATGCAGTCCAAATACACAGAAATATGCGCTCATGTCACGCTATTTGCGTTGCGTTATCATGTCACACAGGGTGTCACGAGGTAGGATTGAAAGTAATTGTTTTCGTGTACACTTGCAATGTTTGCTACGCTGTCCTTAGTTTTTTATTGAATTGGCCATGGATTTACCCTCACTTTTCCGTAGTTTCGATATTAGGGAGTTTAAGATACGGCGACTACAAACTACGACTACGGTTAAAAATGCTATTGTGCATGATCAAAACCACGTGACCGTTCATTTTTTCCGCGTAGCCCTGCGGCTACGGTGAGTTCGGTAGTCACTTGAAGGGATAGACGAGAGGGCCCTTCCTCTATCCTGAGACTGGGACCGAGTTATAAGATCGCCGACAATTTTTCCGAGTGGATCTTCGTACATGAACAATTAAATCATGAGCTCTTTTGATATACAGTGTGTGTGCAGAGGCTACAATTATCTCTTCCCTCGAGTTGAATTAAGGTGAGTTTTAGAACGTTGCTTCGTCGTTTGCAGTTCTACGGAATTCGTAGAAAATGTATTCGATTCATAGTAATTGCTGATCAAGCTTTGCAACTAATTGATAATGGGCCCTGTGATCTCTGTTCACGTCACATAGATGAAAGGTACCTCTAGTTTCAACGTTTTTTCTTTTGTTTAAAAATATGATAACAATAATAAAAAAGACATGAAGCTCTTGTTGCAGGATAAGAGATTGTTTAAGAGAATTCCTATTCAGAGATCACAAGGCCCATACAATGGATTATAATACTTAATTATTATTATTTTTAAGCTTATATTCTTATTTATTTTTGCCAGTGTTGGCCGGGACTCCTCTTCTTTGACAACATTACCTGTTATTCCAATCTTATGCCATTTCACCATACTAAGTGACTACTAAGAGAATGTGCAAATTCTGTATTGCAATGTACAATCCCAGTTTGAAATGGACTATTGTGTAATTGATATCAGCACTCCCCCTTGGTTAAGGAAGTGAGCAAAGATCAATGGAATTCTCGAGGGGTATGTTGTAATAGTTTTGGGAATCCTTGGGGAATAGTCTTAAGCATTGGAGTTATTCAGGGTAAACAAAGAATTCATCAGAATTCATGGAATTTTATTAGGAAAAAACTGAAGTACTGTTCAATAAGTTCCTCAGGGGTAAATTCATATCTTAAGGAAGTCTCCCAGGTGAATGCAGTCTAATAGAATTCCTCAGGAGTAAGAAGGAAGTTTATTATATGTTGTCAACCAGGAAGAGGGTGTGGCTATTAAATGTGATAGCCCAATTTTTTTCTGCGATTGAAGGAGGACAAAGCACACACAATGACCACATGCAACAGCATGCAAAGACTGGACAAAGCAAACATGATGTGATTTTATTTAGTTGGATAGTAAACCTTTTATTCAATGGTTTACATTGTAAAAGTATAATGGACATGGGTGTTTTGCTCATTGCTCGCCTATACATGAAACCATCCAACACATGATTGATAGAATTCACATACAAAAATTATTCAAAATAACTAAGAATC